ACGGGATCGGCCGGGTGTGCAAGCTGCTGAAGAGCCTGTACGGGCTAAAGCAGTCGCCGCTGCTGTGGTACTTGGCGCTCAATGACGTGCTGGTCGGCGCCGGGTGGAAGAAGAGCCAGGTCGACGAGGCTCTCTACTGCAAGGTCGGAGAGGACGGAGTGGCCTGCTGGGTGCTGGTCTACGTCGACGACCTACTTGCCGCCAGCAGTAGCATCGCGATGTTGAAGGAGCTGAAGGAGCTGCTGGAAGCCGCCTTCGAGCTGCGTGAGATCTCGCCGGTGCAGAAGTACCTCGGGCTGGAGATCGTCCGCGACAGGTCGGCGGGGAAGCTGTGGCTGCACCAGCAGGGCTACGCCGACAAGCTGCGTAGGCGCTTCATCGACGAGGAGCAGACCGGGCGCACCCCGAAGACGCCGGTCTCTGTCGCCGCCTACGCTGAGCTCACGTTCGATGATGAGGAGGCACAGGAGCGGCAAGAGGAGGAGTACCGGCAGAAGGTCGGCTCGCTGCAGTTCGCAGCGACGACGACGAGGCCGGACATCGCCTTCGCCTTCAGCAAGCTGGGGAGTGGTCTCACGGTGAGGAGCGACCAGCACTGGCGTGAGGTCGACCGCTGCCTCGTCTACCTCGCCAATACGCGTGACACCGCCCTGGAGTTCGGCGGTGGACCTGAGTCGCTGGACCTGGTCGGCTACGTGGACGCCGACGACGCCGGTGACAAGCAGAACAGGACGAGCACGAGTGGCTACGTGTTCGTCTATGGAGGGGCTGCAGTCTCCTGGTCGAGCCAGCGCATCAAGTGTGCGACGTTGTCGTCGACTGAGTCGGAGTACGTGGCAGCCACCGAAGCCGGCAAAGAAGGACGTCGACTTCGTTTCCTCCTTGCAGAGTTCCGGCAGCTGGATGCCGGGAAGCCGACCGTCCTTTGGGTGGACAACAAGTCGGCTATCTCAGTCGCCGAGGGCATGGGGTTGACGGGCAACCTCAAGCACATGGAGCGGCGACAGGCCTGGCTGCAGCACATGGTGAAGCGCGGGAAGTTCTCGTTGAGGTACATCCCAACCACTGAGCAGCCGGCCGACTTCCTGACGAAGGCGCTGCACTATCCGGCCTTCAACCGGTGCTCCGTCGCAATCGGCCAGGTGCGCTTGGCCGACGTGGGCGACCGCGACAACGACGTGCAGCAGTAGGTGCCATGCCCTCTTGCATGGCTGGTGCGGTGGACGACATGCGGTGTGTTGGGTGCACGTCGACGAGCTATTCTCCGAGGAGTACTGCCGAGTGGACTTGAGGGGGACCAAGCGTGAACGCGGCAGGGGAGTGTCAACGGGAGTTGTATGTTGGCCCCGTCCACGCTTGGGCGGAGCCGACATCGTGGTCGGGTGTTAGGGGAGCAGCCGACCTGCAGCAGTGGGCGAGCTGGTCGACGAGGAGGTCGACCTGCACGGGGACCACTGCACGGGCGCCGACTTCGGGGTGGCGCCAACTTCGGGGAGGTCGACTTAAGCGTCGACCTGCGGAGGACGTCAACTTGGGAAGCCGACTTTGGTGGTCGGCTGATGTGCTGGTCGACCTGCGGGTGGTTGACTGGACCGGTGGTCGACGAAGGAGGGGTCGACGTCGAGTAGCAGGACGTCGAGCAGTCAGGACGTCGAGCAGTCGGGCGTCGAGCAGTCGGGCGTCGAGTGACATGGTCGTCGACCGAGGGGCATGGTCGACCCGGTGAGGTCGACAACGAGGTGGTCGTCGACTTGGGAGGTCGACGGACACGTACGGGAGTTGCTGGTCGATGTGGTTGCCCGGTCGACCAGGTTACCTGGGTGACGAAGTGCTGCGGAGGAGTGCGACGGTCGCCCAGGCGAAGCTGGCGAGACCGACCTTGGTGGTGGTATCACGAGGTCGTCGTGGCAGATCAGAGGTAGCCGTCAGCCCGAGGCTGACGTGGTGTGTGTGTGCTGTGCAGGTGATGAGGCTCGGCATACCAATCATCTGCACGCACCTGCAAAGCGGGTGCACTGCTGGCACACCGTCGACCTGAAGCATTGGCAAGCTGTCGACTTTGCTCTGCTGGAGCGCGGTCGACCAAGTCGTGTTGGAATGCGGTCGACCATGCTGTGCTGGCAGTTGACCAACCTGAATGCTAGCTCTGATGTAGTCTTGCATTGCCAACTTCATTGTACCATTGTTGTGATCTTTTCTTAGTGAAACTCTTGCCAAATTGCCTCGTGAACTAGCAAGCAGTGTTAGCACTCGGAAAACGTCTAAGGACCAACGAACGCAGAGATCACACGAGCACACGTGCCTAGCCAGTAGTCTAGCTCCCGTTGTAGTAGTTATCTCCGCAGCAAGCTCCTAGACCAGGCAAGCTCCTCGACCAGGCAAACTCTTGGACCAGGCAAGCTCCTGGACCACCCAAGCTTCTTGACCAGGCAAACTCGTGGGCCAGGCACGCTCCTGGACCAGGCAAGCTCCTGGAATAGGCAAGCCCCTGGACCAGGCAAGCTCTTGGACCAGGCAAGCTCTTGGACCACGCAAGCTCTTGGACCAGGCAAGCTCTTGGACCAGGCAAGCTAGTGGACTAGGCAAGCTTCTGGACCAGGCAAGCTCCTGGACCAGGCAAGCTCTTGGACTAGGCAAGCTCCTGGGCCAGGCAAGCTTCTAGACCAGGCAAACTCGTGGACCAGGCACGCTCCTGGACCAGACAAGCTCCTAGACCAAGCAAGCTCCTGGACCAGGCAAGCTCTTGGACCAAGCAAGCTCCTGGACCAGGCAAGCTTCTGGACCAGGCAAACTCGTGGACCAGGCACGCTCCTGAACCACGCAAGTTCCTGGACTAGGCAAGCTCCTAGACCAGGCAAGCACCTGGACCAGGCAAGCTCCAGGACCACGCAAGCTCTTGGACCACGCAAGCTCTTGGACCAGGCAAGCTCCTGGACCAGGCAAGCTCATGAACCAGGCACGCTCCTAGACTAGGCAAGCTCCTGGACCAGGCAAGCTCCTGGACCAGGCAAGCTCCTAGACTAGGCAAGCTCTTGGACTAGGCACGCTCCTAGACCAGGCAAGCTCTTGGATCAGGCAGGCTTCTGGACAAAGCAAGCTCGTGGACTAGGCACACTCCTGGACCGGGCACGCTCCTGGACCAGGCAAGCTCCTAGACCAGGCAAGCTCCTGAACCAAGCAAGCTCCTAGACCAGGCACGCTCGTGGACGAGGCATGCTCCTGAACCAAGCAAGCTCCTAGACCAAGCACGCTCCTGGACCAGGCAAGCTCCTAGACAAGGCAAGCTCCGGGACCACGCATGCTCTTGTTCCAGGCACGCTCCTAGACCAGGCAAGCTCTTGCACCATGCACGCTTCTGGACCAAGCAAGCTCCTGGACTAGGCAAGCTCCTGGACCAGGCACGCTCTAGGACCTGGCAAGCTCCTGGACCAGGCAAGCTCCTGAACCAGGCATGCTCCTGGATCAAGCAAGCTCCTGGACCAGGCAAGCTTCTCGACCAGGCAAGCTCATGGACCAGGCAAGCTCCTGGACCAGGCACGCTCGTGGACTAGGCACGCTCTTAGACCACGCAAGCTCTTGGACCAGGCAGGCTCGTGGACCAGGCACGCTCAGGGACCAGGCAAGCTCCTGGACAAGGCAAGCTCCTGGACCAGGAAGCTCCTGGACCAGGCACGCTCGTGGACCAGGCACGCTCCCGAACAAGGCAAGCTCCAGGACCACGCAAGCTCTTGGACCAGGCATGCTCCTGGACGAGGCAATCTCTTGGACCAGGCAAGCTTGTGGACCAAGCAAGCTCTTGAACCAGGCAAGCTCATGGACCACGCAAGCTCCTGGACCAGGCAAGCTCTCGGACCTGGCAAGCTCTTGGACCAGGCAAGCTCCTGGACCAAGCAAGCTCCTCGACCAGGCACGCTCGTGGACGAGGCACGTTCCTGGACCAGGCAAGCTCTTGGACCAGGCAGGCTCGTGGACCAGGCAAGCTCTTGGACCAGGCAAGCTCCAGATCAGGCAAGCTCCTAGACCAGGCAAGCTCCTGGACCAGGCACGTTCCTGGACCAGGCAAGCTCCTGGACCAGGCACGTTCCTGGACCAGGCAAGTTCCTAGACCAGGCAAGCTCCTGGACCAGGCACGTTCATGGACCAGGCAAGCTCCTGGACCAGGCACGTTCCTGGACCAGGCAAGTTCCTGGACCAGGCAAGCTCCATATCAGGCAAGCTCCTAGACCAAGCAAGCTCCTGGACCAGGCACGGTCGTAGACCAGGCACGCTCCTGTCCAGGTCCACGTCCACGACCATGTCCACGTCCACGTCCACGTTCACGTCCACGTCCACGACCATGTCCACTTCCACGTGCACGTGTACGTCCACGTCCATGTCCACGTCCACGTCCACGTTCACGTCCACGTCCATGTCCACGTCTTTGCCACGTTCACGTCCACGTCCACGACCATGTCCACGTCCACGTTCACGTCCACGTCCACGTCGACGTCCACGTCCACGTCCATGTCCACGTCCACGTCCACGTCCACGTCCACGTCCACGTCCACGTCCACGACCATGTCCACGTCCAAGTCCACGTCCACGTCCACCTCCATGTCCACGTCCAAGTCCTCCACGTCCACGACCACGTCCACGTCCACGTCAACCTCCACGTCCACGACCACGTCCACGTCCACGTCCACGTCCTCCACGTCCACGTCCACGTCCTCCACATCCATGTCCTCCACGTCCACGTCCACGTCCACGTCCACGTCTACGACCACGACCACATCCACGTCCATGTCCACATCCACGTCCATGTCCACGTCCACGTCCACGTCCATGTCCACGTCCACGTCCATGTCCACGTCCACGTCCACGTCCACGTCCACGTCCATGTCCACGTCCACGACCACGTCCACGACCACGACCACGTCCACGTCAAGGTCCACGACCATGTCTACGTCCACGTCCACGTCCACGACCATGTCCACGTCCACGTCCACGTTCACGTCCACGTATCAATGTTCACGTCCACGTCCACGTCCGCGTCCATGTCCACGTCCACGTCCACGACCACGTCCACGTCCACGTCCACGTCCACGACCACGTCCACGTCCACGTTCACGTCCACGTTCACGTTCACGTCCACGTGCACGTCCACGTCCACGTTCACGTTCACGTCCACGTTCACGTCCACGTCCACGTCCACATTCACGTCCACGTCCACGTTCATGTTCACGTTCACGTTCACGTTCACGTCCACGTCCACGTCCACGTCCACGTGCACGTTCACGTCCACGTCCACGTCCACGTCCACGTCCACGTCCACGTCCACGTCCACGTCCATGTCCACGTCCACGTCTACGTCCACGACCACGTCCACGTCCACGTCCACGTCCACGTCCACGTCCACGTCCACGACCACGTCCACGTCCACGTCCACGTATCAATGTTCACGTCCACGTCCACGTCCACAACCACGTCCACGACCACGTCAACGCCCACGTCCACGTCCACGTCCACGTCCACGCCCACGTCAACGCCCACGTCGACGTCCACGTCCACGTCCACGTCCATGTCCACGACCACGTCCACGTCCACGTCCACGTCCACGTCCATGTCCACGTCCACGTCCACGTCAACGTCCACGTCCAGGTCCATGTCCACGTCCACGACCACGTCCACGACCACGACCACGTCAACGTCAAGGTCCACGACCATGTCTACGTCCACGTCCACGTCCACGACCATGTCCACGTCCACGTCCACGTCCACGTCCACGTCCACGTATCAATGTTCACGTCCACGTCCACGTCCACGTCCGCGTCCACGTCCACGTCCACGTCCACGTTCACGTCCACGTTCACGTTCACGTCCACGTGCACGTCCACGTCCACGTTCACGTCCACGTTCACGTCCACGTTCACGTTCACGTTCACGTTCACGTTCACGTCCACGTTCACGTTCACGTCCACGTTCACGTCCACGTCCACGTTCACGTCCACGTCCACGTTCACGTTCACGTTCACGTCCACGTGCACGTCCACGTCCACGACCACGTCCACGTCCACGTCCACGTCCACGTCCACGACCACGTCCACGTCCGCGTCCACGTATCAATGTTCACGTCCACGTCCACGTCCACGTCCCCGTCCACGTTCACGTCCACGTCCACGTCCACGTCCACGTCCGCGTCCACGTCCGCGTCCACGTCCGCGTCCACGTCCCCGTCCACGTCCGCGTCCACGTCAGTCCACGTCCAAGTCCTCCACGTCCAAGTCCTCCACGTCCACGACCACGTCCACGTCCACGTCCACGACCACGTCCACGACCACGTCCACGTCCACGACCACGTCCACGACCACGTCCACGTCCACGACCACGTCCACGACCACGTCCACATCCACGTTCACGTCCATGTCCACGTCCACGTCCAAGTCCTCCACGTCCAAGTCCTCCACGTCCACGACCACGTCCATGACCACGTCCACGTCCACGTCCACGTCCACGTCCAAGTCCTCCACGTCCAAGTCCTCCACGTCCATAACCACGTCCACGACCACGTCCACGTCCACGTCCATGTCCACGTCCACGTCCACGACCACGTCCACGTCCACGACCACGGCCACGTCCACGACCACGTCCACGACCACGTCCAGGTCCACGTCCATGTCCATTTCCACGTCCATGTCCACGTCCACGTCCACGTCCACGTCCATGTCCACGACCACGTCCACATCCACGTCCACCTCCACGTCCAAGTCAACGACCACGTCAATGTCCACGTCTACGTCCATGTCCACGTCCACGTCCACGTCCATGTCCACGACCACGTTCACGTCCACGTCCACGTCCACGACCATGTCCACGTCCACGTCCACGTCCACGTCCACGTCCACGTCCACGTCCATGTCCATGTCCATGTCCACGTCAACGTCCACGTCCACGTCCACGTCCACGTCCACGTCCACGACCACGTTCACGTCCACGTCCACGTCCACGTCCACGACCACGACAATGTCCACATCCACGTCCACGTCCACGACAATGTCCACGTCCACGTCCACGTCCACGTCCATGTCCACGTCCACGTCCACGTCCATGTGTCCACGTCCATGTCCACGTCCACGTCCATGTCCACGTCCACGTCCATGTCCACGTCCACGTCCATGTCCACGTCCATGTCCACGTCCATGTCCACGTCCACGTCCAAGTCCACGTCCAATTCCTCCACGTCCATGTCCACGTCCACGTCCACGTCCACGTCCACGTCCATGTCCATGTCGACGTCCACGTCCACGTCCACGTCCACATCCATGTCCACGTCCATGTCCACGTCCACGTCCACGTCCACGTCCACGTCCACGTCCATGTCCACGTTCATGTCCACGTCCATGTCCACGTCCATGTCCACGTCCACGTCCATGTCCACGTCCACGTCCATGTCCATGTCCACGTCCACGTCCACGTCCACGTCCATGTCCATGTCCACGTCCACGTCCACGTCCACGTCCACGTCCATGTCCACGTCTACGTCCACGTCCACGTCCACGTCCATGTCCACGTCCATGTCCACGTCCACGTCCATGTCCACGTCCACGTTCATGTCCACGTCCATGTCCACGTCCATGTCCACGTCCACGTCCATGTCCACGTCCACGTCCACGTCCACGTCCACGTCCACGTCCACGTCCACGTCCACGTCCATGTCCACGTCCATGTCCAAGTCCATGTCCACGTCCATGTCCACGTCCATGTCCAAGTCCATGTCCACGTGCAAGTCCACGTCCATGTCCACGTCCATGTCCACGTCCAAGTCCTCCACGTCCACGTCCACGTCCACGTCCATGTCCACATCCACGTCCATGTCCACGTCCACGTTCCCATCAATCCACATCCAAATCCTCCACGTCCAAGTCCTCCACGTCCACGTCCACGTCCATGTCCATGTCCACGTCCACGTCCAGGTCCACGTCCACGTCTACGTCCATGTCCAGGAGCTTGCCTCGTCCAAGAGCTTGCCTTGTCCAAGAGCTTGCCTCGTCTAGGAGCTCGCCTGGTCCAAAAGCTTGCCTGGTCGAGGAGCGTGCCTGGTTCAGGAGCTTGCCTTTTCCACGAGCGTGCCTGGTCTAGGAGCTTGCCTTGTCCAGGAGCTTTCTTGGTCCGTGAGCTTGCCTGGTCCAGGAGCTTGCGAGGTCCAGGAGCTTGCCTGGTCCAAGAGCTTGCCTGGTCCAAGAGCTTGCGTGGTCCAGGAGCTTGCCTGGTCCAAGAGCTTGCCTGGTCTAGGAGCTTGCCTGGTCCAGGAGCTTGCCTGGTCTAGGATCTTGCCTGGTCCAAGAGCTTGGGTGGTCCACGAGCTTGCCTGGTCTAGGAGCTTGCCTGGTCCAGGAGCTTGCCTGGTCCTGGAGCGTGCCTAGTCTACGAGTTTGCCTGGTCCAGAAGCTTGCCTGGTCTAGGAGCTTGCATGGTCCAGGAGCGTGCCTGGTCCAGGTGCTTGCTTGGTCCAGGAGCTATCCTGGTCCAGGAGCTTGCCTGGTCCAGGAGCTTGCCTGTTCGAGGAGCGTGCCTGGTCCAAGAGCTTGCCTGGTCCAAGAGCGTGCATGGTCCACGAGCGTGCCTGGTCCATGAACTTGCCTGGTCCAGGAGCTTGCCTAGTCAAGGAGCTTGCCCCGTCCAGGAGCTTGCCTTGTCCAGGAGCTTGCATGGTTCAGGAGCTTGTTTGGTCTAGGAGCTTGCCTGGTCTAGGAGCTTGTCTGGTCCAGGTTCGTGCCTGGTCCACGAGTTTGCCTGGTCCAGAAGCTTGCCTGGTCCAGGAGCTTGCCTGGTCTAAGAGCTTGCATGGTCCAGGAGCGTGCCTGGTCCAAGAGCTTGCCTAGTCCATGAGCTATCCTGGTCCAGGAGCTTGCCTGGTCCAGGAGATTGCCTGGTCCAAGAGCTTGCCTGTTCTAGAAGCGTGCCTGGTCCAAGAGCTTGCCTAGTCCAAGAGCGTGCATGGTCCACGAGCGTGCCTGGTCCAGGAGCTTGCCTGGTCCAGGAGCTTGCCTGGTCAAGGAGCTTGCCTGGTCCAGGAGCTTGCCTGGTCCAGGAGCTTGCCTGGTCCACGAGACTGCCTGGTCCAAGAGCTTGCCTCGTCCAGGAGCGTGCACGGTCCACGAGCGTGCCTGGTCCAGGAGTTTGCCTGGTCCAGGAGCTTGCGTGGTCCAATAGCTTGCTTGGTCCAGAAGCCTGCCTGGTCCAAGAGCTTGCCTTGTCTAGGAGTGTGCCTGTTCCAAGAGCTTGCATGATCTAGGAGCTTGCGTGGTCGAGGAGCTTGCCTGGTCCAGGAGCTTGCCTGGTCCAGGAGCTTGCCTGGACCAAGAGCTTGCCTGGTCCAAGAGCTTGCATGGTCCAGGAGCTTGCCTGGTCAAGGAGCTTGCCTGGTCTAGGAGCTTGCCTGGTCCACGAGCTTGCCTCGTCCAGGAGCGTGCCAGGTCCAGGAGTTTGCCTGGTCCAGAAGCTTGCCTGGTCCAGGAGCTTGCATGCTCCAGGAGCGTGCTTGGTCCAGGAGCTTGCCTGGTCCAGAAGCTATCCTGGTCCAGGAGCTTGCCTGGTCCAGGAGCTTGCCTGGTCCAGGAGCTTGCCTGGTCCAGGAGCTTGCCTCTTCCACGAGCATTCCTGGTCCAGGAGCTTGCCTTGTCTAGGAGCTTTCTTGGTCCGTTAGCTTGCCTGGTACAGGAGCTTGCTTAGTCCAGGAGATTTCCTGGTCCAAGAGCTTGCCTGGTCCAGTAGCTTGCCTGGTCCAACAGCTTGCCTGGTCCAGGAGCTTGCGTGGTCCAATAGCTTGCTTGGTCCAGAGGTCCAAGAGCTTGCCAGGTCCACGAGCGTGCGTGGTCCAAGAGCTTGCGTGGTCCAGGAGCTTGCGTGGTCCAGGAGCTTGCCTGGTCCAAGAGCTTGCCTGGTCCACGAGCTTTGCATGGTCCAAGAGCTTGCCTGGTCCAAGAGCTTACGTGGTCCAGGAGCTTGCCTGGTCAAGGAGCTTGCCTGGTCTAGGAGCTTGCCTGGTCCAGGAGCTTGCCTGGTCCAGGTCGTGCCTGATCCACGAGTTTGCCTGGTCCAGAAGCTTGCCTGGTCTAGGAGCTTGCCTAGTCTAGCAGCTTGCATGGTCCTGGAGCTTGCCTGGTCCAAGAGCTTGCCTGGTCTAGGAGCTATCCTGGTCCAGGAGCTTGCCTGGTCCAGGAGTTGCCTGTTCCACGAGCGTGCCTGGTCCTGGAGCTTGCCTTGTCCAAGAGCTTTCTTGGTCCGTTAGCTTGCCTCGTCCAGGAGCTTGCCTGGTCCAGGAGCGAGCATGGTCTACGAGCGTGCTTGGTCCAGGAGCTTGCCTAGTCCAGGAGCTTGCCTGGTCAAGGAGCTTGCCTGGTTCGGGAGCTTGCCTGGTCCTGGAGCTTGCATGGTCCACAAGCCTGCCTGGTCCAAGAGCTTGCCTGGTTTAAGAGCGTGCATGGTCCACGAGTGTGCCTGGTCCAGGAGCTTGCCTGGTCCAGGAGCTTGCCTATTCCAAAAGCTTGCTTGGTCCAGAAGCCTGCCTGGTCCAAGAGCTTGCCTGGTCAAGGAGCGTGCCTGGTCCAAGAGCTTGCGTGGTCTAGGAGCTTGCGCGGTCCAGGAGCTTGCCTGGTCCACGAGCTTGCCTGATCCACGAGCTTGCCTGGTCCACGAGCTTGCCTGGTCCAGGAGCTTGCCTGGTCCAGGAGCTTGCCTGGTCCATGAGCTTGCCTGTTCCACGAGCGTGCCTGGTCTACGAGCTTGCCTTGTCCAGGAGCTTTCTTGGTCCAAGAGCTTGCCTGGTCCAGGAGCTTGCCTGGTCCAAGAGCTTGCCTGGTTCAGGAGCTTGCCTGGTCCAGGAGCTTGCCTGGTCTAGGAGCTTGCCTGGTCCAAGAGCTTGCCTGGTCGAGGAGCTTGCCCGGTCCACGAGCTTGTCTGGTCCAGGAGCGTGTCGATCCACTAGCTTGCGTGGTCCAAGAGCGTGCCTGGTCCAGGAGTGTGCCTGGTCTACGAGCGAGCCTGGTCCAGGAGCTTGCCTGGTCTAGGAGCTTGCCTGGTCAAGGAGCTTGCCTGGTCCGGGAGCTTGCCTGGTCCAGGTGCTTGCTTGGTCCACGAGCCTGCCTGGTCCAAGAGCTTGCCTGGTCCAAGAGCGTGCATGGTCCACGAGCGTGCCTGGTCCAGGAGCTTGCCTAGTCCAAAAGCTTGCTTGGTCCAGAAGCCTGCCCGGTCCAAGAGCTTGCCAGGTCCAGGAGCGTGCCTGGTCCAAGAGCTTGCGTGGTCTAGGAGCTTGCGTGGTCCAGGAGCTTGCGTGGTCCAGGCAAGCTCCTGGACCTGGACCAGGCAAGCTCCTGGACCTGGTCCAGGTCGTGCCTGGTCCACGAGCCTGCCTGGTCCAAGAGCTTGCCTGGTCCAAGAGCGTGCATGGTCCACGAGCGTGCCTGGTCCAGGAGCTTGCCTGGTCCAAAAGCTTGCTTGGTCCAGAAGCCTGCCCGATCCAAGAGCTTGCCTGGTCCAGAAGCGTGCCTGGTCCAAGAGCTTGCGTGGTCTAGGAGCTTGCGTGGTCCAGGAGCTTGCCTGGTCCACGAGCTTGCCTGGTCCAAGAGCTTGCCTGGTCCAAGAGCTTGCCTGGTCTAGGAGCTTGCCTGGTCTAGGAGCTTGCCTGGTCTAGGAGCTTGCCTGGTCTAGGAGCTCTCCTGGTCTAGGAGCTTGCCTGGTCCAGGAGCGTGCCTGGTCCACGAGTTTGCCTGGTCCAGAAACTTGCTTGGTCTAGGAGCTTGCCTGGTCTAGGAGCTTGCATGGTCCAGGAGTGTGCCTGGTCCAGGAGCTTGCCTGGTCTAGGAGCTATCCTGGTCCAGGAGCTTGCCTGGTCCAGGAGCTTGCCTGGTCCAGGAGCTTGCCTTGTTCAAGAGCTTGCCTGTTCTAGGAGCTTGCCTGGTCCAGGAGCTTGCCTGGTCCAGGATCTTGCCTAGTCCAAGAGCTTGCCTGGTCGAGGAGCTTGCTTGGTCCACGAGCTTGCCTGGTCTAGGAGTGTGCCTGATCCACGAGCTTGCCTGGTCCAAGAGCGTGCCTTGTCCAGGAGCTTGCCTAGTCTACGAGCGAGCCTAGTCCAGGAGCTTGCCCGGTCTAGGAGCTTGCCTGGTCAAGGAGCTTGTGTGGTCCAGGAGCTTGCCTGGTCCACGAGCCTGCCTGGTCCAAGAGCGTGCATAGTCCACGAGCGTGCGTGGTCCAGGAGCTTGCCTGGTCCAGGAGCTTGCCTGGTACAGGAGCTTGCCTGGTCCACGAGCCTGCCTGGTCCAAGAGCTTGCCTCGTTCAGGAGCGTGCATGGTCCACGACGTGCCTAGTCTTGGAGCTTGCCTGGTCTAGGACCTTGCCTGGTCCAAGAGCTTGCGTGGTCCAGGAGCGTGCCTAGTCCGAGAGCTTGCGTAGTCCAAGAGCTTGCATGGTCCAAGAGCTTGCCTGGTCCAGGAGCTTGCCTGGTCCAGGAGCTTGCCTCGTCCAAGAGCTTGCCTGGTCCAAGAGCTTGCGAGGTCCAGGAGCTTGCCTGGTCCAGGAGCTTGCCTGGTCTAGGAGCTTGTGTGGTCCAAGAGCTTGCCTGGTCCACGAGCCTGCCTGGTCCAAGAGCGTGCCTGGTCCGAGAGCTTGCGTAGTCCAGGAGCTTGCATGGTCCAAGAGCTTGCCTGGTCCAGGAGCTTGCCTGGTCCATGAGCTTGCCTCGTCCAAGAGCTTGCCTGGTCCAAGAGCTTGCGAGGTCCAGGAGCTTGCCTGGTCCAGGAGCTTGCCTGGTCTAGGAGCTTGCCTGGTCAAGGAGCTTCCTTGGTCCACGAGCGTGCCTGGTCTACGAGTTTGCCTGGTCCAGAAACTTGCCTGGTTCAGGAGCTTGCCTGGTCTAGGAGCTTGCATGGTCCAGGAGCGTGCCTGGTCTAGGAGCATGCCTGGTCGAGGAGCTATCCTGGTTGAGGAGCTTGCCTGGTCCAGGAGCTTGCCTTTTCAACGAGTGTGCCTGGTCCAGGAGCTTGCCTTGTCCAGGAGCTTTCTTGGTCCGTGGGCTTGCCTGGTCCAGAAGCTTGCCTGGTCCAGGAGCTTGCCTGGTCCAAGAGCTTGCCTGGTCGAAGAGCTTGCGTGGTCCAGGAGCTTGCCTGGTCCAAGAGCTTGCCTGGTCTAGGAGCTTGCCTGGTCCAGGAGCTTGCCTTGTCTAGGAGCTTGCCTGGTCCAAGAGCTTGGGTAGTCTAGGAGCTTGGGTAGTCCAGAAGCTTGCCTGGTCTAGGAGCTTGCATGGTCCAGGAGCGTGCGTGGTCCAGGAGCTTGCCTGGTCCAGGAGCCATCCTGGTCCACGAGCTTGCCTGGTCCAGGAGCTTGCCTGGTCCAGGAGCTTGCCTATTCGAAGAGCGTGCTTGCCTGGTCCATGAACTTGCCTGGTCCAGGAGCTTGCCTAGTCAAGGAGCTTGCCTGGTCGAGGAGCTTGCCTAGTCCAGTAGCTTGCCTCGTTCAGGAGCTTGCGTGGTCTAGGAGCTTGCCTGGTCCAGGAGCTTGCCTGGTCCAGGTTTGTGCCTTGTCCACGAGTTTGCTTGGTCCAGAAGCTTGCCTGGTCCAAGAGCTTGCCTGGTCTAAGAGCTTGCATGGTCCAGGAGCGTGCGTGGTCCAAGAGCTTGCCTGGTCCAGGACCTATCCTTGTCCCGGAGCTTGCATGTTCCAGGAGCGTGCCTGGTCCAGGAGCTTGCCTGGTCCAGGAGCTTTCCTTTGTCCAGGAGCTATCCTGGTCCAGGAGCTTGCCTGGTCCAGGAGCTTGCCTGGTCCAGGAGCTTGCCTGTTCGAGGAGCGTGCCTGGTCCAAGAGCTTGCCTGGTCCAAGAGCGTGCATGGTTCACGAGCGTGCCTGGTCCATGAACTTGCCTGGTCAGGAGCTTGCCTAGTCAAGGAGCTTGCGTGGTCCAGGAGCTTGCCAGGTCCAAGAGCTTGCCTTGTTCAGGAGCTTGCCTGGTCTAGGAGCTTGCCTGGTCCAGGAGCTTGCCTGGTCCAGGTTCGTGCCTGGTCCACGAGTTTGCCTGGTCCAGAAGCTTGCCTGGTCCAGGAGCTTGCCTGGTCTAAGAGCTTGCATGGTCCAGGAGCGTGCCTGGTCCAAGAGCTTGCCTGGTCCAAGAGCTATCCTGGTCCAGGAGCTTGCCTGGTCCAGGAGATTGCCTGGTCCAAGAGCTTGCCTGTTCCAGGAGCGTGCCTGGTCGAAGAGCTTGCCTGGTCCAAGAGCGTGCATGGTCCACGAGCGTGCCTGGTCCAGGAGCTTGCCTGGTCCAGGAGCTTGCAGGGTCAAGGAGCTTGCCTGGTTTAGGAGCTTGCGTGAATCAGGAGCTTGCCTGGTCTAGGAGCTTGTCTGGTCCAGGTTCGTGCCTGGTCCACGAGTTTGCCTGGTCCAGAAGCTTGCCTGGTCCAGGAGCTTGCCTGGTCTAAGAGCTTGCATGGTCCTGGAGCGTGCCTGGTCCAAGAGCTTGCCTGGTCCAAGAGCTATCCTGGTCCAGGAGCTTGCCTGGTCCAGGAGCTTGCCTGGTCCAGGAGCTTGCCTGTTCGAGGAGCGTGCCTGGTCCAAGAGCTTGCCTGGTCCAAGAGCGTGTATGGTCCACGAGCGTGCCTGGTCCATGAACTTGCCTGGTCAGGAGCTTGCCTAGTCAAGGAGCTTGCCTGTTCCAAGAGCTTGCGTGGTCCAGGAGCTTGCCTGGTCCAGGAGCTTGCTTGGTTCAAGAGCTTGCCTGGTCTAGGAGCTTGCCTGGTCCAGGAGCTTGCCTTGTCCAGGTTCGTGCCTGGTCCACGAGTTTGCTTGGTCGAGAAGCTTTCCTGGTCCAGGAGCTTGCCTGGTCTAAGAGCTTGCATGGTTCACGAGCGTGCGTGGTCCAAGAGCTTGCTTGGTCCAGGAGCTATCCTGGTCCAGGAGCTCGCCTGGTCCAGGAGATTGCCTGGTCCAAGAGCTTGCCTGTTCCAGGAGCGTGCCTGGTCCAAGAGCTTGCCTGGTCCAAGAGCGTGCATGGTCCACGAGCGTGCCTAGTCCAGGAGCTTGCTTGGTCTAGGAGCTTGCCTGGTCAAGGAGCTTGCCTGGTCCAGGAGCTTGCCTAGTCCAGGAGCTTGCCTTGTCCACGAGCCTGCCTGGTCCAAGAGCTTGCCTCGTCCGGGAGCGTGCACGGTCCACGAGCGTGCCTGGTCCAGGAGTTTGCCTGGTCCAGGAGCTTGCGTGGTACAATAGCTTGCTTGGTCCAGAAGCCTGCCTGGTCCAAGAGCTTGCCTGGTCTAAGAGCGTGCCAGGTCCAAGGGCTTGCGTGATCCAGGAGCTTGCGTGGTCGAGGAGCTTGCCTGGTCCAGGAGCTTCCCTGGTCCAGGAGCTTTCCTGGTCCAAGAGCTTGCCTGGTCCAAGAGCTTGCGTGGTCCAGGAGCTTGCCTGGTCCAGGAGCTTGTTTGGTCTTGGAGCTTGCCTGGTCCAGGAGCTTGCCAGGTCCAGGAGCTTGCCTGGTCAAAGAGCTTGCCTGGTCCAGGAGTTTGCCTGGTCCAGAAGCTTGCCTCGTCCAGGAGCTTGCCTGGTCTAGGAGATTGCATGGTCCAGGAGCGTGCCTGGTCCAGGAGCTTGCCTGGTCCACGAGCTATCCCGGTCCAGAAGCTTGCCTGGTCCAGGAGCTTGCCAGGTCCAGGAGCTTGCCTGTTCCACGAGCATTCCTGGTCCAGGAGCTTGCCTTGTCTAGGAGCTTTCTTGGTCCGTTAGCTTGCCTGGTCCAGGAGCTTGCCTTGTCCAGGAGCTTGCCTGGTCCAGGAGCTTGCGTGAACCAATAGCTTGCTTGATCCAGAAGCCTGCCTGGTCCAAGAGCTTGCCTAGTCCACGAGCGTGCCTGGTCCAAAAGCTTGCGTGGTCTAGGAGCTCGCGTGGTCCAGGAGCTTGCCTGGTCCAAGAGCTTGCCTGGTCTAGGAGCTTTGCCTGGTCCAAGAGCTTGCCTGGTCCAAGAGCTTGCGTGGTCCAGGAGCTTGCCTGGTCCAGGAGCTTGCCAGGTCTAGGAGCTTGCCTGGTCTAGGAGCTTGCCTGGTCCAGGAGCGTACCTGATCCACGAGTTTGCCTGGTCCAGAAGCTTGCCTGGTCCAGGAGCTTGCCTCGTCTAGGAGCTTGCATTGTCCAGGAGCTTGCCTGGTCCAGAAGCTTGCCTGGTCCAGGAGCTTGCCTGGTCCAGGAGCTTGCCTGTTTCACGAGCGTGCCTCGTCCACGAGCTTGCCTTGTCAAGGAGCTTTCTTGGTCCGTTAGCTTGCCTTGTCCACGAGCGTGCCTGATCCACGAGCTTGCCTGGTCCGAGAGCATGCCTGGACCAGGAGTGTGCCTGGTCCACGAGCGAGCCTGGTCCAGGAGCTTGCCTGGTCCTGGAGCTTTCGTGGTCCAGGAGCTTGCCTGGTCCGGAAACTTGCCTGGTCCAGGAGCTTGCCTGGTCCTCGAGCCTGCCTGGTCCAAGAGCTTGCGTGGTCCAGGAGCTTTTGTGGTCCAGAAGCTTGCCTGGTCCAGGAGCTTGCCTGGTCCAAGAGCTTGCCTGGTCCAAGAGCTTGCGTGGTCTAGAAGCTTGCCTGGTCCACGAGCTTGCCTGGTCTAGGAGCTTGCCTGGTCCAGGAGCTTGCTTGGTCCAGGAGCGTGCTTGGTCCACGAGTTTGCCTGGTCTAGAAGCTTGCCTGGTCCAAGAGCTTGCCTGGTCTAGGAGCTTGCATGGTCTAGGAGCGTGCCTAGTCCAGGAGCTAGCCTGGTCGAGGAGCTATCCTGGTCCAGGAGCTTGCATGGTCCAGGAGCTTGCCTAGTCTAGGAGCTTGCCTGTTCCACGAGCATGCCTGGTCCAGGAGCTTGCCTTGTCCAGGAGCTTTCTTGGTCCGTTTGCTTGCCTGGTCCAGGAGCTTGCCTGGTCCAGGAGCTTGCCTGGTCCAGGAGCTTGCCTGGTCCACGAGCCTGCTTGGTCCGAGAGCTTGCCTGGTCTTTGAGCTTGTCTGGTCTTTGAGCTTGCCTGGTCCAGGAGCTTTCCTGGTCTAGGACCTTGCGTGGTCCAAGAGCTTGCTTGGTCCAGAAGCCTGCCTCGTCCACGAACTTGCCTGGTCCAAGAGCGTGCCTTGTCGAAAGCTTGCGTAGTCCAGGAGCTTGCCTCGTCCAAGAGCTTGCCTGGTCCAAGAGCTTGCGTGGTCCAGGAGCTTGCCTGGTCCAGGAGCTTGCCTGGTCCACGAGCGTCCACGTCCATGTCCAAGTCCACGTCCTTGTCTACGTCCACGTCCACGTCCATGTCCACGTCCATGTCCACGTCCACGTCCACGTCCATGTCCACGTCCACGTCCACGTCCATGTCCACGTCCATGTCCACGTCCACGTCCACGTCCACGACCACGTCCACGTCTACGTCCACGTCCACGTCCACGTCTAAGTCCACGTCCACGTCCACGTCCACGTCCACATCCACGACCATGTCTTCGTCCACGTCCACGTCCACGTCCATGTCCACGTCCAAGTTCTCCACGTCCACGTCTACGTCCACGTCGACGTCCACGTACATGTCCACGTCCAGGTCCACGTCCACGTCCACGTCCATGTCCAGGTCCACGTCCATGTCCACGTCCACGTCCACGTCCACGTCCACGCCTATCTCCACGTCCAAGTCCTCCACGTCCACGTCCACGTCCACGTCCATGTCCACGTCCACGTCCACGTCCATGTCCACGTCCACGTCCACGTCTTCGTCCACGTCCACGTCCACGTCCACGTCCATGTCCACGTCCATGTCCACGTCCACGTCCACGTCCACGTCCATGTCCACGTCCATGTCCACGTCCACGTCGACGTCCACGTCCAGGTCCACGTCCACGTCCAGGTCCACGTCCACGTCCACGTCCACGTCGATGTCCAGGTCCACGTCCACGTCCACGTCCACGTCCACGTCGATGTCCAGGTCCACGTCCACGTCCACGTCCGCGTCCACGTCCACGTCCACGTCCGCGTCCGTCCACGTCCGCGTCCACGTCCACGTCCACGTCCGCGTCCGTCCACGTCCACGTCCGCGTCCGTCCACGTCCACGTCCACGTCCACGTCCGCGTCCGTCCATGTCCACGTCCACGTCCGCGTCCACGTCCACGTCCACGTCCACGTCCGCGTCCGTCCACGTCCACGTCCATGTCCACGCACGTCCACGTCCACGTCCACGTCCCCGTCCACGTCCACGTCCACGTCCACGTCCACGTCCACGTCCACGTCTACCTCGACGTCCACGTCCCCGTCCACGTCCACGTCCACGTCCACGTCCACGTCCACGTCCAAGTCTTCGTCCACGTCCATGTCCACGTCCACGTCCACGTCCACGTCCATGTCCACGTCCACGTCCACGTCCACGTCCATGTCCACCTCCACGTCACGTCCACGTCCACGTCCATGTCCACGTCCACGTCCACGTCCACGTCCACGACCAAGTCCACGTCCACGTCCACGTCCACGACCAAGTCCACGTCCACGTCCACGTCCACGTCCACGTCCACGTCCACTTCCACGTCCAGGTCCACGTCCACGTCCACGTCCACGTCCACGTCCAGGTCCACGTCCACGTCCACGTCCACGTCCACGTCCACGTCCACGTCCACGACCACGTCCACCTCCACGACCACGTCCACGTCCACGTCCACGTCCACGTCCACGTCCACGTCACGTCCACGTCCACGTCCAGGTCCACGTCCACGTCCACGTCCACGTCCACGACCAAGTCCACGTCCACGTCCACGACCAAGTCCACGTCCACGTCCACGTCCACGTCCACGTCCATGTCCACGTCCACGTCCAGGTCCACGTCCATGTCCAGGTCCACGTCCACGTCCACGTCCACGACCACGTCCACGTCCACGTCCACGTCCACGTCCACGTCCACGTCCACGTCCACGTCCACGTCCAAGTCCACGTCCACGTCCACGACCACGTCCACGTCCACGTCCACGTCCACGACAATGTCTTCGTCCACGTCCACGTCCACGTCCACGTCCACGTCCACGTGCACGTCCACGTCCACGTCCACGTCCACGTCCACGTCCACGTCCACGTCCACGTCCAGGTCCACGTCCACGTCCACGTCCACGTCCACGACCAAGTCCACGTCCACGTCCACGACCAAGTCCACGTCCACGTCCACGTCCACGTCCACGTCCATGTCCACGTCCACGTCCAGGTCCACGTCCATGTCCAGGTCCACGTCCACGTCCACGTCCACGACCACGTCCACGTCCACGTCCACGTCCACGTCCACGTCCACGTCCACGTCCAAGTCCACGTCCACGTCCACGACCACGTCCACGTCCACGTCCACGTCCACGACAATGTCTTCGTCCACGTCCACGTCCACGTCCACGTCCACGTCCACGTCCACGTCCACGTGCACGTCCACGTCCACGTCCACGTCCACGTCCACGTCCACGTCCACGTCCACATCACGTCCACGTCCACGTCCACGTCCACGACCACGTCCACGTCCACGTCCACGTCCACGTCCACGTCCATGTCCACGTCCACGTCCACGTCCATGTCCACGTCCAAGTCCTCCACGTCCACGTCCACGTCCACGTCCACGTCCATGTCCACGTCCAAGTTCTCCACGTCCACGTCCACCTCCACGTCCACGTCCATGTCCACGTCCATGTCCATGTCCACGTCCACGTCCACCATTTTCTCTACATATTTGCGTTAGTTACCTTTCAAACCCTTACGTTCACTAGATGAATTTATTTCCTTCCTTCTATTTGAGTGAGACCACTAGATTTCGTGTACTATGCGAGATCTGAGCAGTTCCGTTCTCCCAGGCATTTGCACTCTAAGTTCCCATACTGACCGACCTGGCCAATGCACCATTTTCCATATACATACGCATTAGATTCCTTTCGAACCTTATTAGCTAACTAGATTTATATATTTCCCACCTTCTGATCGAGTGAGACCGCTAGATTCCCTTTACTTTTTGAGAAATGAGCGTTTCCGTTCTCCTTGGCCCTAGTTGCACTATAAGTGCGAAATGCCGGCCAGACTGGCCGATGCACAATTTTCTCTACACATGTACGTTAGTTACCTTTCAAACCCTTACGTTCACTAGATGAATATATTTCCTACTTTCTATTTGAGTGAGACCACTTGATTCCGTGTACTATGCGAGATCTGAGCGCTTCCGTTCTCCCTGGCATTTGCATTTTAAGTTCCGATACGGACCGACCTGGCCAATGCACCATTTTCTCTATACATGTGCGTTGAATACATTTCAAACCTTTTTAGCTGACTAGATTTATATATTTCCCACCTTCTGATCGAGTGAGACCGTTAGATTCCCTTTACTTTTTGAGAAACGAGCGTTTCCGTTTGTCAGAACTTATAGCTTACTTGTTTCTGTAGGCTATAGTGGGGTATCCCATAGGGGGTACAACCCAATTAGGGTTTCCTATTTGTACTCACTTCGTTCATAGTCATTTCATTCTCGTTCTTTGTTTCCACATGGAATCAGAGCAGGTTCCCTCCTAGGGACTGCTTCTAGGGCCCACCGAACCGCGCCCCGAGGCGCGTTTTTTTTTAGCGACCCGTTGTGTCGCCCCTAGCGGACCGTTGCGCCGCCCTTCCCCTCGCGGCTCCGCCGCCCTTCCCTAGCGGCCCCGCCGCCCTTCGATCGCGGCCCCGCCGCCCTCTGCTACGCGGCCCCGCCGCCGCCCTTCGATCGCGGCCCCGCAGCCCTCAGCTACGCGGCCCCGCCGCCCTCTGCCTCGCGGCCCCGCCGCCCTCTGCTACGCGGCCCCGCCGCCCTCTGCTACGCGGCCCCGCCGCCCTCTGCTACGCGGCCCCGCCGCCCTTCGATCGCGGCCCCGCCGCCCTTTGCCACGCGGCCCCGCCGCCCTCTACTACGCGGCCCCGCCGCCCTCTGCTACGCGGCCCCGCCGCCCTTCGATCGCGGCCCCGCCGCCCTCTGCTACGCGGCCTCGCCGCCCTCTGCTACGCGGCCCCGCCGCCCCCTGCTACGCGGCCCCGCCGCTCTCTTCGGTCGCGGCCCCGCCGCCCTCTGCTACGCGGCCCCGCCGCCCTCTGCTACGCGGCCCCGCCGCCCTCTGCTACGCGGCCCCGCCGCCCTCTGCTACGCGGCCCCGCCGCTCTCTTCGGTCGCGGCCCCGCCGCCACTCTGCTACGCGGCCCCGCCGATCCGCCCAGCAGCAGCCGCCGCCGCCTGAGCCGCCGCCGAGCCGCCGCCGAGCCGTCGCCGAGCCGCCGCCGAGCCGCCGCCCGAGCCGCCGCCGAGCCGCCAGAGCCGCCGCCGAGCCGCCCGTGACGCCCGAGCCGCCCGCGCCGCCCAGCAGCAGCCGAGCCGCCGCCGAGCCGCCGCCGCCTGAGCCGCCGCCGAGCCGCCGCCGAGCCGCCGCCGATCCGCCGCCGAGCCGCCGCCCGGGCGCCGCCGAGCCGCCCGCGCCGCCCGAGCCGCCTGCGGAGCCGTGCTGCTGTTCCTCTGCTGCTGACCTACCCGCCTCTCCCAGCCCGGTGAGATTTTCAGCTGCTGTCATGGCCACCCCCAATGTTCTTACCTTTGACGCTGAGGGGAGGGCCATTGACTTTGCCGTCTGGATTGAAGACCTGCAGCTGTACTTACTGTGTGATGCGATAGATGAGGTCTCTCTCTTTGACTTTGTCTCTGGCGCTGTCCCTGCCCCACCTGCTGATGCTGACTCTGCCGTTCGCTCCAAGTGGGCGACCCGCGATGCTGCTGCACGTCTTGCTGTGCGTCGCCACCTCCCTTCCTCTGAGCGTGCCCACTTTAGTCAGTGCAAGACCGCTCAGGCCTTGTACGACGCTGTAGTTGCACGCTACTCCTCCCCTTCCTCCGCTACCCTTAGCCGCCTCATGCTACCGTTTCTCTTCCCTGACCTCGCTTCCTTTCCCACTGTCGCTGACCTCGTTACCCACCTCCGTGCTAGTGACACCCGCTACCGCGCTGCCCTTCCTGCTGAGTTCCGCGCTGCGAACCCTCCTCCCATGTACATCACTCTCTACTTTCTCGTCACCCGTCTCCCTGAGTCCCTTCGTGTCGTTAGGGACCAGTTTCTCTCTGTCTGTCCCACCACTCTCACTGTCGACCTCCTTGAGGAGTCCCTGCTAGCGGCTGAGAAGAGTATTGTCGCTGTAGGGGCCTCTCGGGGTGACCCTCGCACCCCCATCTTTGAGGGGTGTGGTCCTTCCCCCCTGCTGCCCTCTGTCGCCTCTGCCGCTGCGGCCGACCTCACTAGTTTTGAGTCGGTCGGCGCGGCGTCTGCCCCCAGCGGCAGACGCCGCGCTGGCAAGGGCAAGGGGGGCAAGGGAGCGGGTGGAGCTAGAGGGGGCGGTGGAGGAGGCGGTGGGGGTGGCGGGGGGAGTGGGGGTGGCGGTGGGGGTGGTGGCGGGAGTGGAGGTACTGGTGGCGGCGGTGGAGGCGGAGGTGGCGGCGGAGGTGGTAGCGGAGGAGGCGGTGGGAGCGGTGGGAGCGACGGTCCTGGTGGGGGAGGTGGAGGTGGAGACGGGGGTGGCGGTGGAGGCGGGGGTGGCAGTGGAGGCGGGGGTCGGAGTGGCTCGTCCCAGCGGAGCAGCTCCGGGGGTGGTCAGCGCCAGCAGCAGCAGCAGCAGCAGCCGCAGCAGCAGCCACAGCAGCAGCAGCGCTCTCGCACGGTCCCTGCCCCTCAGCAGCTCCGTGAGTGGTATTCGCAGCGTCAGCGTGGTGGTGCGCTTGGTCCTTGCCCCTACGTTCTCCGCACCGGTGACCGTGCAGGGGAGAGGTGTGGAGGCGCCCACACTGCCCGCCGCTGCTTTGGCCGCCTGACTGACGCCTGGCGTCAGCAGTTTCCGGAGGCAGCTGAGATCCCCCGCTGGGGAGAGCTGTCTAGGGCTGGTGTAGCTATTTATGATCTTGATTTTGATGCTATTCTCTCTGCTATGTATGCTGCGATTGGTAGTGATGAGGATGACTGTTACCGGTGTTTCCCGCCCGACCCGGGCATTGGTACTGCCGCGTCAGGTACTAGTGAGGCTGCTGCTCTAGGTGCCAGTGCGTCTGTGCTCTCAGGTGCTGGTGAGTCTGCCCTCTCAGGTACTGTGTCGGCTTCGGCCTCTCACACCTTCACCCTTGACTCTGGAGCGTCTCGCTCCTTCTTTCGGGACCGCACCACTCTAACGCCGCTGAGTCGGCTGGTTGCGGTGTCCCTGGCTGACCCCTCTGGGGGGCCTGTCCTGTCTCGCTTCTCCACTGTCCTCCCATGTCCGGCGGCCCCCTCTGGCACCCTGACTGGTCTTTACCTCCCCTCGTTCTCGACGAACTTGGTGAGTGGTGCTGACCTCCAGGATGCGGGTGTCCACCAGTTCACCCCTGCTCGTCAGCGGGTGACCCACTGCACGGAGGCGGATACAGGTCGCCACCTGGCTACGTTTACACGTCGGCCAGGGTCGAGCCTGTACACTCTGACCACTGCTTCTCCTCCAGGTGCTGAGTCTGGTAGGGTCACTTCGTCTGGTCAGGTGTTTGCTGCAGCGTCCAGGTCTGGTCCTGAGTCTGCCCCCTGCTCGTGCCGTCGTTTGTCTCACGAGACCCTCCTCTGGCACCACCGCCTTGGCCACCCCTCTCTGCTTCGGCTCAGAGGCATGGCCTCGCGAGTCCTTGTGTCTGGTCTTCCCCGGTCTCTCCCTCCCCTTCCTCCGGGCCCTGGCCCTACATGTGTCCCCTGTGTCGAGGGGCGCCAGCGTGCTGCCCCTCACTCCTCCCAGTTTCCTCCGACAGAGGCCCCGTTGCAGACGCTTCACATGGATGTGTGGGGCCCAGCCCGCGTCCGTGGACAGGGTCAGGAGCGCTACTTCCTGCTGGTGGTTGACGACTACTCGCGTTACACCACAGTCTTCCCCTTGCGCAGCAAGGGTGAGGTCACTGCGGTGTTGATCGACTGGATCCGCGCAGCTCGTCTCCAGCTTCGGAGGAGCTTTGGCTCTGACTTCCCTGTTTTGCGTCTGCACTCGGACAGAGGCGGAGAGTTCTCCTCTGGCCTCCTGAGTGCCTACTGTCGTGCGCGAGGCATCCGTCAGACCTTCACGCTTCCGGACTCACCGCAGCAGAATGGGATTGCTGAGCGCCGCATTGGCATGGTCATGGACGTCGCTCGTACGTCCATGATGCATGCGGCTGCTCCCCATTTTCTGTGGCCGTTTGCGGTCAGGTACGCTGCGCACCAGATCAACCTCCACCCCAGGGTCTCTCGACCGGAGACCTCCCCAGCCCTGCTGTGGACGGGGAAGGTTGGCGATGCGTCGGCGTTCCGGGTCTGGGGATCTCGGGCGTTTGTTCGCGACCTGTCTGCGGACAAGCTATCCCCTCGTGCTTCTCCCTGCGTCTTCCTGGGGTTCCCCCCCGACGCCCCTGGGTGGCAGTTTTACCACCCCACCTCTCGACGTGTTCTGTCCTCCCAGGACGTCACGTTCGACGAGTCGGTACCCTACTACCGCCTCTTCCCCTACCGCACTCCGTCCCTCCCCCCACCCCCGCTCTTCTTGGTACCAGGTCCCCCCCCGGTAGTCCCCCTCCCCCCTCAGGGTCCTGCCCCTTCAGGTGTGTCCCAGGTAGACGCGGTCGAGCCTGTCGAGGTCACTGGTGACTCTGGTGCTGCTGCGGGAGCTGAGCCTGGGGGTGCGGAGTCTGGGGGTGCTGAGCCTGGAGGTGCCGAGTCTGGGGGTGCTGAGCCTGGGGGTGCTGAGCCTGGGGGTGCTTTGCCTGGAGGTGCCGAGTCTGGGGGTGCTGTGCCTGGGGGTGCTGAGCCTGGGGGTGCTGAGCCTGGGGTTGCTGAGCCTGGGGGTGCTGAGCCTGGGGGTGACGTGCCTGGGGGTGCTGTGTCT